CACTTTATGGTTCTTGTTCGAACTTTAGAAAAAGTAAATTAGATAATATTTTGAATAATATTTGTAGAAATTTAGCATTCGGAACCAAATTGGATGAGTTAAGAACGAGTCAAAAATGCGTTCGCTACAGCTTTTGTCAACTGAAAGGTTATATATCTATGAAACGCTAGTTAAGAATTATTTCAATAATACGTTTAAGAAACCTGTAAAAAAACTAAAGGTTTTGAGAAAAATAGAGCGGTTCGCCCTCCCGAGAGTATACACAAATTACGGAAAGCGGGTTCGGTTTTTTACGTTCCTCATTACTTTAATTTGTTGCCAAATGAACTTTTATATCTACAGTCGTTCAAACTGATAAAAAAAGAGCTTAGAAATTGGTGTTGTAACTACGATTTTTAAATTGTTGTACGAGTCAAGAGTATTTCGTTTTTCGGCCTATTTTGTGCTTCGAATTATTTGATGTTAGTAGTTTCTCTGCTGGTTGCCAGGTCACGCCTACAAGCACTCACGTGTTTTGCGGACCTGTTTTAATGATGTATATTTTCTTCGTGCAATAAAGACATTATTATTATTATAAAGAATAGCTCCGCTCTAAGACGATAAATGTAGACGTAAAAAATACAACCCAGGCAGCACAAAATATTGTGCGGATTTTTCAGATTTCGACTAATCTGAAAAAAAATATTGCCGATACCCTTTTGACGTAGCCGATATCTGTGAAGAATCGGAAGGGTCGCCACGACGCCATCCTGACATACCGTACTCGACGACGTTTTCTGTTGGGTTTCCAGAGTGTCCTTACTGAATCGGCTGTGCCGGCGACATATTTCTATTTCTGGTCCGCGTCAAATCCAACGTTTAAAAAATGAAAACAAAAACATTAAGCAAAACTGAACCTGCTTCCTTTTAGCACGATGAGGGCCTCCTGCGCTGAAGCTTTGAATCAACTATAGAGTCCTCTTTTTTGGTAGTACCAGCTTACCTGACTCGGCCTCGCAGCTTCGTTAAGATTTTTTTTTTCGTAGTTCGGAATAAACAATGCCGCAAGACAATCGAAAGTGCCAGATTCATGCCACCCCCGCTAAGATATCCGATTCTTATCTCTGCATGGTGACATCGGAACACCAAGCATCCCGACGCTGTTTTTCCCCGTTTTTTCTTTCAAACACATGAAACGGCGTCTCTTGTCTCATGCTCTCGGCGTCACTGGGTATGACTGCGTCGCGTCGAGAAACAGAAGCCAGTCACCGGCACATCGGTGCTTCGTATGAAGCGTGGAATCCAAGGAATAGTTTGGCACGCGACACAAGAAGCACGCATGTCCTTGTTTTTCGCAGTCGCAACGGAGTCGAACACTCTTAAGCCTAGTTCACATGCAGCGGTTTTTGCCCTAGGGGGGCACGATTTCTGCCGTCGCGGCGCTCTGGCCAGCACCAGCGGTTAAGCGGCACGAGCGCCGCGATGGCAGAAATCGCGCCGCTCTAGGGCCAAAATCGCTGCATGTGAAACCCGCTTTAATCGCTCACAAACACTACTGTGCGGGGCCGTTTGCTTTGATCCGTGCTTCGTCGGTGATAATCTTTTCTATGTATTTTTCTTTTGAGCTCGCGTTCCGCACAAAAGCAGGCACCCGTCTACATCTGTGGCGGTTCGAGACACTCAATTTTGTAATACCCCAAAAATGTCCTGACGAGTCCCTTTTCGCGGCGCTCAATGGACATTAAAGGAGGCATATACACCAACTCGGTGTTCACAAACAAAGCGGAGTGCCCCTTGCGGACGCCACCGGCGCCGCGCACGCGCGATGGAGTGTGGGCAAGAAGCTCGACGTCGCCCATAAACACACCATTGAAATGCAATGTTGTGAGCGTCGGTTTGAGTCCCCGTGCTCTTTTTTTTTCGTTTTAATTATTGATTCCACGTATTCCTGGCAATGTCTACTACTTGAGCGGCCTCTGCTAAATTACCAAGGCTCGCTACACCGCAATACTTCTCGTGAATTGTGTGACATGCGGCGATTCACTCCGCTTGGACGCCACAGAATGGACCCTAAAGCCTGTTTTGCATTATGAGATTCCGCTCGAAATTTTCAGTCGAAACATCGCTAGAGAGGCCAAAACGTGAGCCGTAATTCAGATGGTTGACATCAATACCGAAAATCGCAAGCAGGATCGGTAACATGTCGATGCTGGCCACTGATAACAATAATGAACTTCGCATTATGTCTACTGTTTACACCGAGTATGCTTACATCAGCCAACTTTAAAACTTAAAAATCTTTTGAGGCCTGCCCTTACTCCTCATCGCGATTACCGGAACACCGTTTGGTCGACGGACCGGTGTCCTCTAAAAGAGCAGACGACAAGCAGAAACGTTTGAAAGAGGAGACGACAGTTCGAACGATCAGGTAGCCGTTGGAACCTGAAGATGCACTGAACGTAGTCCGCAGGGGCTCCGTACAACTTGATGGTTTCCCCACGTTCATGTAGTTACAAAACAAATACATATGATGGCTCAAATTGAACTAAAGTGCTTCCCGCCGACGGCGTCCGTTTTTCCCTTTTCATCGCACATATCCACGTTCTCGGACTAACTGAGCACATGAAAACTGACCTTAGAACCTTTCCCGATTCTTTCGGTGCAGTCCCAGTCGCGGCGTTTTGAAGAGAATGCAGGGTTTTCTCTGTTTTTTTTTTTTTTTTTCAAAACAACGCAATAATGTATGTCTTGCATGGTGACTTCCGCCCACAGCCCTAGAGCGGAAGTAAGCTCGACGTGCCACCACAGCGCCGGTGTCGAGCTCGTGTATAAGGACCAGCTGAGGGAGATAGGCTGCATTTTCCATCTCCCTTTCACCTCGTCTTATGTTATGCTGCCCCATCTTCGTTTCTGTCGTCATGTGGCTGTGAGCGAGCTCAAAGGACGCTTCTAGCGAATCAGAGGGATGGAGCGAAAGACGTGACCGCTCTTTGTCGGACAAGAATGCTTTGGACCAAAAGTTATTACGTGGCCCACTGTAACGCGCTGATGGGCTTACCGGGGTCATTCTTCGCCGTTTGCCAACTTATAGTGAAATGTAGGGGCCAATGTGAGTCCGGTTTCCGAAAAGCGCTCTTTAGTGCTCTGCTTTTCGTGCGTTAAGATCGCGGTGGTGGTGCTTCGTCGTGAACGCCTCTAATATATCCATGCCAACTTTCAGGAAAGGGTCGTTTTCTTCATCCGAGTCTATTCGAATCGAAATGACCATAAGAAAGTTGTGATGGTCCGTCAAACTTTCTTGATGACTGATCAGACCTTTTTGATGGCCTATCAGACTTTTTGATGGACCAGCACACGCTCTGGAGGCACATCACACCTTCTTCACGAACCATGACACCTACTTGATGGTCTAACAGACGTTATCTGATCGCCAAACATACCCTCTTGATGGTCCATCGAACTTCCTTGGTGGTCTGAAAGGCTTACTTGATGGTGTCTGATGGACAATCCAACATTATCTGATGGTCCCTGATTAACCATTAAAGGCCTCCGTTCGTAGTCAGAGGCGGGCAAAACGTTTCTTTTGGTGACTGACAAACAATTGGAACGTTTTGATGTTGCCCGGATGAGACCATCAGGATATCTAGATGGATCATCAGAACGCATAAATGCTGATGTTGCTTCTCATGGCATATTTCGGTGGCGGAAAGAACCTGACTATGTTCGGGCGGTTACACCTGTGGCCGAGAGAAGGCGCTAATGATCTCACGTCTTTGCGCACGCGTGAATTACATTCGGTGAGTAAAGCTGGCAGCGGCGTGGCTCGGTAAATCTCTGTTCAATCCGTAATAATCCACCTCAACAATTGCCCTAGGATAGTCAATAGGTAACGAAGACACTTTCTTGTAAACTGAGTTACGTTGTTTTTTTACCATAGTTTTGCTTTAAATTGTTTTATTACCCGTTGGGAAACAATTTGTTGACCCGATTTCCATGTGAACTAGATACTTTTCACGATCTAATTGGCAAAGAATGTGCCAAAAAACCTACTTAGCTTGATAGAAAATTTATCCACCAGGCGTACATGCACTGTGAACTAAATGTTTGCGAAGAAAAACGTTGACAAAGCCGCGAATGCGGTAATGCGTGGCTCACCGCATTCTCGGGCCGACGAGGCTTAGTGTATTGCACGCTGTCGGACGACGCCATCATGCCCAGCATGGACGGCGGGGACAAAGGGTAGTTAGCCGCTCAAAGGACACCGATCAAGTTGCTGCGCGTCGTGGAGTCTCGAAAGTAGTGGCTGGATTAAGCCATTTCTTCTTCCGTTTTGTTTTTGCGATTTCAATAATTCGTAAATAGAACTTTCAATCATTCCTAAATAGAAATAATAACATGCCATAAACAAAATATAGACTTTACATTCAGGTTCCTACGAGCATTTCGAAAGGTACCCTTACGATTCTGATGTTGCACTTAGAAATAATATTGCGCACAGTATAAAGTTTGCAATTGACTGTAATGAGAGACATTTGTAGCAACCACTAGACATGTCCAAAGTTTCCACAATAGGAAGGCTGGGCAAATTGCAAAAGTAGGCATTTCAACATTAGGTAGGTTACGCGTAGTGCTCACGTTTCCTGCAATGGAGTACATCGCCGAAAGTCGTAAATCTAAGAAAGAACACATCGGTACTCATTATTTTTTGTCTTGAGTCGTTATGGGTGGAAATTATATGTGTACATTCTTGATGAAGATTTATATGCCTCTCCTTTTTGACATTTTGCATGGCAAGTCCAGTATCATTCTTCTGTCATCACGGATGAGAGAAGAATTATGAAAGGATGAGCGCCAAACATCATATGCCCTTCAGATAAGGCCAGCTGAACTAGAATAAACATAAACACAACGAAAAGACCACCCTACCTAAAAACCCAGTAGACATTTTTCCAGATTAATTTAGTCTGGATTATGGAACCGGAAATCCATCTGGAAATCTATCTGGATCGACAGCTACTGGAACCGTTCTGGAAATCAATCTGGGTATGTACTACTGGATCCATTCCGGTAGGGTGTCTTCTGGAAATCTAGCCGGATACGCAGTACTGGAATCCAGTCTGGAACGCAGTATTCTGGAAATCGGGTCGAGTTTAGTGGCCTCTCGATGCCATACCTATTATATATATGATAATTTAACCGGATAGGGGGATATCACAGCTGGAATCGCTCCAGGTCATAAGGCAGCAAACCAGTACTAGGATGCTGACAACCAAGCCTACAATAGCACAACCATGACGTGGTACATAAAACCACAACCATGACGTGCTACATAAAACACAGTACAAAATATGGCGGCTCTGCTTTTTATTCCACTTGCCCATTTAGTTCTTCTTTGCCCTGCGAGCAGCTGCCCTCTCATCAGCACGGTTGTTGTCACACAGGAAGTTAGACAACTTAGTCCGCATTGCTTCTAATCTTTCCGTTCTCGTGAACTCCCCCATCTGGAGTGTGTCGATCCGCAGACCCAGTGCAACTGAAAAGAAGAAACAACAACCAAACGTCAAACTTAAATTTTGTTCTGTCATATAAACATAACAGTTAACATGAAACTGACTAAGGAAAGCATAGCAGTAAGGTTCAATTATTTGCTGTTCATTCAAAATTCAATTGACACATTCCCTAAATATAAGCTTATTTCGCTAATATCCACGATAATAGCAAGCTAATTATTCCTAGATGAATAGCACTGCACTCTAATTTACTTGTCTGGACACTAATTACTTGACAAGCACCGGCACTGTTTAAAATTTAGTGTGGAAACATGCAATAATTAAATACAGTATGGCAAGGGCTCTAAACTCAAACTATTACATTTAAATCTCGATGTGATAAAGTCCCGTGGAGCTGAAAACTATTCAATTAAATCTGGGATTTCCTTTTCAGTGTTTCGATTTGATAACTCCAAGGTTTAATGTCGCGGCTCCAAGAAACTACCGCGGTCCTGTAGGAGTCTGCACACACCGGAAATGTCAGCCGTGCATTTATAAAATCAATCATCAAAAGCAACCCACACCATGCTTGGGCATAAAACGGAAATAAGCCCTGAACTCTCGAGAGAACGACAGATTTATTTCTCTCAAAAAAGCCTATAATCTTTGCCTGCAAGCGCCTTGTAAATAGTAGGTTCAGATAGTTCTTGTAACCTGCAAGCATTTTCTGAAAGCCAATCACCAGCTTTGAGTCTGTCCATGTCTCTACTCGCTGCACATTAGTTTCCCAACAATCCCATAGCGTTCTTCAAAATGCGACAGCGATGCAGGACTCCCCTAAAGTTGTTGCACACCGACAAGCAAGCAAAAGTGACCACTCTCTTTTGCAGCACTTCTCCGCCTGTTAGAATGCATTATTGCTTTACTTTGTTTCACTGTACAAGCTTCCCGATCCAACTGCAGGCACACTCTTAATGCACAGCAATAAATACAAGCATGCCTTTTACATGGTTCAAGTTTGTACCAGGATTTGTTTAAAGCCACCCACCTTCCATGGCATTAACCTTTATAGGGGTCAGCTCTTTCTTGGCTGTGGCCCCATCCTTCACCAAGCGCCGGCAGGGCAGCCCCTTGACGCTCCTGTCCAAGAGTTCCTCCGGCTCCCACAGACTCCGGGCGATCCAAGCAATAAACTTCGAGTCAGTTTTACCCATCTTTAGGGAAAGGTCCATCCGCTTCTTCGTTATAAACACGCCATTCCTCACGTGCACCTGAAAAAAGTTAAAGAAAAGCAAAGAAGTGTTGGCCCTTTGTATAAAAAAAAAGAAAAGAAAAAAGAAAAAACTGTTTACAAAGAAATGTAAAAAAAAAAACATTCGAGAGATACACTATTATCCAGTAAAAGGTGTCCAAGAACCAGAAAGGGAGCACTTTTATGTCTCTTTTGTAGGTGTCATATTGGCTCGTATAATGTGCTAGTACTACAAAAGCAAAACATCTGACAGGTTAATAATTTTTTTACCAGAAACAAATCTTGAGAAAATTTCTTGCCAGAACCTGATTACTTGTCAAAACCGATATTGCAGTTCCCTCTGCCTGGTCTCATAGACGGTACAAGGGAAAATCTTTCAGTGCCTATTTTCAGACTTATAAGAAGTGACAGGTCAAGAAAGTGTACGAGCTGAAGAAGGAAGCAGGCAGAAACTCGGTGTGCAAGAAAGGTTCCTCCTCTCCCATCCGAACTTCCTCCTTTCGAGCTTATACACTGTTCTTGACCCGCCACTGACAATAGGAAACCTAAACTCCTTAAAGTGCCAGTTGCTCGCTTGTGAAAAATTATACGAGCATGCCAACGTAGGTTTGCAAGAATGCACCCAGAAAAAGCTGATGAAGAGTGCAAGAAGGTTGCCTCCCACTTTTATATTCACCGTCTTCCCCACGGGTTAAAATGGGCTGCATAGCGATAATGGACAGACATTGCAGTTTTGAGCCGTAACAAGAGTAGCCAGATGTTTCTCAGCTTTGATAAAGCGCACATTCAATAAAATAAAAGCAATCCAGATGCAGTGGTTGCGCTACGATACTGTCAAGACCGGTTATAGCGAAGTCAACGGGAATCGGAAATCACTTCGATATATCCGCTCTTTCATTATAACCGACTTCGGTTAACAAAGTGCAAAAGGGAATGGGAAATTGTGATCGCTTCGCTGTAGCCGCTATTTCGTTATAATCGACTTCGTTATAACCGGTCTCGACAGTACATGGCACAAAGATTGTCCCTTGAGCCTTAATTATAAGTTTATGAGATCCCTTTTACAGACAGGCTAGTGTAAATTGGGCAGATGGGACAATACTTGAATAATTGATTAAAATACCATGTCAGTTCCTATAAAGGATGCAGGTCTTTAGGCTTGCCAGTACATTGTGTGATTGTGCTAGCAAACTGTGCTCATGTAAATGGCCATATGTTTAGACTGCAGAAAGCAACTATTGCAGGAGAAAGTCAAGGCGTATGTGATACAAGAAAGAAGGGATAAGGGATCTACCTGTGCAAGCCAATCTTCTATAGCTGTGTTAGGAAGTAAGGTGGCATTTGAAGTCCCAGTGAGCATCTCTCTATTTTAACTGATGTTTGTCATGTTTAGTTATGTTGACATCACCATGCTAAAGGCTAGGCTTGCAAACACCACACCTGAGCACAAATGATTCTATCGTGCGTCCCGCGTGCCTCGGCTACTTGGGCACTAGTGGCGATTAAAGCGACAGTTCTTCCAATTCATACTTCTGACTCTTCTGGGACATGACAGGATAAGAGCTGACCACCCAATCAAGAAATGTATGGAAAGTACATTTGATTCCAAGTAAGACACAAGAAGAAAGTGTTTTATAAGCACTTTGAAGTTTGTACCAGCCATTAATTCATTATTAAAGGTTATTGCCTCCAGCAATGAGCTAGTATGCTTTTTGTGCAATAGCATTGGGGAAGAACCCGACCACTAGGGCACATCCTTTGAAACAGAAACCACCACCATGAAAGGGTTAATAGTGTAGGACGTTGACAGATGAGCCAGAAATGTGCACAGGCCCGCCATACTGTTTAGTTGCGCTTTCTGGCTCAGTTCTGTAAGTGTAGTTTTAAGTTGTGCTCAGAGATGGCGCTTTTCGTGCAAGGTGACAGTGTAGTGCACTACCCATTGTACGGCTTCAACATTCAGAACAAGGTTGAAAAATAATGAAGTAAAATGCCGAAGATGTGCAAGATATGACCGCTGGCGAATCTTTCAATGTGCAAGATCTAGACGACGCTATAACACGAATGGGAGCCTACGACACTCATAATTCTGTGTCAATTAAGAGAATGTCATTAGCTCAGAACTGCAAAAGCATGTTGGACATCATTGCCGATATCACTATGACTAAAGAAGTTGAAAGCAAAGAGGACATGGACAAAAAAACAGTGATCACACAAAGCTCACGTTTGCAGATGGGATCATGGCCCTCGATACTTTAAAAATGTTTCTCAATATCCACGGCTGCACAGAAAGTGAGGACGGGCCGCGAGTGCTCTAGACTGTCCTTGTTGAACATTTGATCTAAGCACCAAGTAGCAATCACAACCTCTGGTTCGATGCTGCAACTGCTTGATAAGAAACGTGTTGTTGACCATTTGCTGGAAGCGCCGGGTAGCGATCATAAGCAGTCTGTAATGCGGCCTAATTCCCCATGATCGTTAAATTCTATTTAAATTAAATTGTCATGTTAGACTTGCCTCCTATCTCATTTGTAGCCCTGCTGAGCATTAATGAATATTACGTCTTCCCAGATAATAGGGTTTTTTATGCTAACCCATTAAAAAGACATATAAACAAAGTTTCATTAAATTTGCCTTACCATTTTAAAAGAAAATTACAGGGATTGACAGTGTCCAGTACATTTGAAAAATACAAGAAATCAAGAAAGCAGTCTAGCAATGATTTGGTTCTCTATATTTACCATGCCATCAACCTCCGCCAGCTCAGGAGGACAGTCAGGAGGGACTTCCTGCTGCTGTGCTGCAGCACCTGGGGCTATTTGCAGTGGCCGTAGCGGTGCACCGCCCGCTCGTAGCGGTGCAACATCCGGAAGTTCCGCAGGCTGTGCTCCACCAGGTTGGAGCCTTGCCTTTGCGATGAGCTCAGGTCGAGGACCAGCTGGTAGTGGTGTAGCCGCTGCGACGAACTCTGGTTGAGAACCAGCCTGTGCCTGTCCAGTCTCTGGAACAATCCTAGGCCGTGCGCAAGCCACAAGCGTCGCAGCCACTGCGACAGACTTGGACCGTGCGCCAGCCTGAGGCGGAGCAGCATCTGCAATAAACACAGAGTAATTTCAAAGCAGGTTAATGTAATTACAGCTAGAGCAAGACATGCAAATGTAGAAGGAAGGCTATAAAGCACTATAAATTTCCAAAACACAAGATACATTACTTCACTAACACTTCTATCTGAGCCTACCTTTGCCCTGCAGAAGGTAATACTGGTCATGCAGTACCGATGTTGAGTAGCTTAATGGCATCGTCACTCCCAAGTTGTACAACCGGGAATATTTGCATCAATGATTAATTGGAATAGCTACAATGAATTTGTCAGCATCATCTGTGACAACAAAAAATGTGAAAAAAAACAAACTCTGGGGAGTATTTACACAAATATATAAATTTATAAAATAATAATATAATTACCTAGCTAAAAATTAAACGCGATTTAAAGAGAGGAACTAGACTATCTAGTCGGGCTCGCGCTGGTTAGTCCCAGACAAACACTGACACAGCACTCATATTCAATCCATGCCCTGTGGTGGCCTTTCTTGGTGACGCAATGAATTTCAGTACTACGGCCTTGCTACAAAGTGCTGTTGAAAGTTTCTCCCCTCCCCCCCCCCCCCCCACTTTTTTTAACAGCTCTTCGAAGTTTAATAGTTATGTTTGCAGCTCTTAGGCCGTGTCACTCAAGCCACCCATGGAATAGACCGCAAAAGGGGTGGCTTCAGCAATAAAATTTAAACAAAGGAGGATGGGGTGCAGAAAAGTGTACAACCTCCAGATTTTTTAACAATATAACACGACCTCCAACCAGCCGCTACATCAGCGCATTATCATGGCATGAAGCGGTGTTATCAACAAGTAGGCACGTGTGCAGAGGCCATATGCCACAATGGGGAGGGAACATCTGCCCCCGAGGCTGTTCCCTAACCAAACTTAAGCGCTTCTCCTGTTGTCAGCACCGTCCCCTTACCAGTAATCGCCGGTCAGTTTCCTGTAGGTGCAAAGAAATAAAAAAGTAAAGAAAACGGCGTAGAAGCGAGTTTTGCTGGATCACGCAGAACAGATTTCTTGTTTATTGTATTTTGCATAAAATTACGCTGCTTGCTAAAAGAAAAAAAAATTCAAATTTCATGAATAATTTATTAGCGAATGTCATGGGTTAAATTTGGGTTAACAAAAACATTCAGACAATGTTGGGTATTAACACATTACTCAACAACCCTGGAAGGCCCAAGCTGACCGACCAACACCAGCTATGTAGTGTGGAAGATTCGTAAAGTGCAGGTGGAAGGTTTCTTTCATTTCCGATGTAGCGTGATTTCATGGCAAAACACACCGTCACGCCCTCTTTTATTTAAAATTTTTTAATAGCGGCAAGCCATTTCAAGGGAGAAAAAAATGCAAACAGTGCGAGGTGGCGCACCCCTCTTATCCCTGATTCAGAGTAGAGAGAGTGCAGACCGGTCATGCATAAGGTAACAGCGTAGCAGACGATGCCAACACTGGCGCATGCCTTCTCCATACACGCTAGTCTCGTTGATTTCAGCACTTCACGAAGTGGCGACACGGTGATTAAACAGCCGGTTCGCGCTGAAGAAGCCCAAGGCTGTCTGAAGAAGCCCAAGGCAATCTGCCACGTAAACACTTTAAAAGAGCTTTAATGAGCTGTACATGTATAAATCCTAATAAAGGCAGTATCGGAGGTGTCGAGGTCCCATTAGACGTAAAATATTCGTATTTGAAAATATTTGTCTCAATTCACAGTCAAAACGTTGGTATTCGCACACCTCAACTATTTTTTACTACTTATATAAGGCAAATAATTCAAATTACACAAAGGATGGTAAGCACTATGTTCCCAGCTTTGTAGGCAATCTTACATGAACATCCAGCTTCCACTAGTTGGCCCTCCATTTCGTCTTCACTGGCAAAGCCATGCGGCTCCACAGTGTCAAAGAGAGACCTCCGGACAGCTGGTGCAGTGCCCCTTGAAGGCTCTGAAAAAACAAAAATAAATTAATAAGGTGCAATCTTGGAGTAACATGGATTATAACAAACTTTTCAGTCTTGTAATGATACATCATTTAGCTTTTTTGTAATAAAAAATATTCATAACAAATTTAAAAAGTCGCACCCATGCTATTAATTATTGATGCAAGCAAACCTGAAACATGCCAGTCATTAAGACTTATCTTTTCGTGCTCAAAGGTTTAAAACCCTCAAACCTTATAATTCTTTTATAGGGGGGAGGTGGGTTTATATTCTTATGATCGCAAACACTGCTGCCCTATAGTATTTCTTACATTAAAGGTACACTGCAACTAAAAACAAAGCATTCTTTTAAACAGCCTTGTTAAGGCATGCATGTCACGAGTTGGCTTTTCCCTTGAAAAAAAATAATTGGAGCAATGTTTACAATACAAGACTCATTTTGGTTTGCATCTTTGCCATGTGCTAGTGCGCATTGACTGGAAAGTGGTTGCGACACATCACACCGAGCAACCCTTTTTGTAGCTTCGCCTAGGTCATCAAAAAATCCTATTGAAACATGTAACTATACAGCACTCGACACAGCTGAGCTTACAAGGCAGCGGAGGCTGCATTTGCTTGCTGGACAAGCAACTGACGGTCTTGCACCACATCATCCGACTCTGTGTGCACACACAGGCATAGTAAGAAGGGTCAGACGCAGGTGATTTATTGCGGTAAGCACATAGCTTTTACCACATTGTCACCATTGCGACCAACTGAGTGTGGGCGAGTAACCTTGGAATAAAATGAATCTTCAGAATATCTTCACAAAAGGAAGATGCAATTGCATGCAGTACATCCACTGACCTACGACCACTTCAAATTCTATGAATGCCTGTAACACGTACCTGTAACACCAGAGGCATTTGAGCTCGATGCCCCTTGCCCGCATCTGCAGGGTTCTACGGTTTCTGTAAGAAAAGGCATGGGAAATGAATATAGAATCACATTTTTTTTTATCTGACTGCAGTGTAACAATGCTATGGGAGTGAGTGGAGCCTATTTGATTTCTAGGTGCCCCAAATAGCACCATGTCCTATTTACAGCATTACCCAATGATATTGTGGCTGAGTTTTGTGTCACCTCATCAAATTCTTAGTTAGATATAGACCGTTCCATTAGGATCATAGCAGAGAGGGTAAAAAAAGAAAAAAAAATGCCCTTTCCCTTCACCCGCATGTCGTCCGCTCCGCCAAGTGGGCTGCACCTAGCATCCGGCTGGCGTACGAACTCTGTTTCAAATCGCGTCATTTTGGAAATTTCAAACGCAGATTTGGGTATGCCAGTTATCGTATAATACTATGCTAGATAAAAAGACTAACAGGGTCCAATCGCGCTGTAGCCTGCGTGCAAATAAAAAAAAAAATAGGGAAAACGGTGTCAGATTGGCCGGTCTCTCAGGCGAAAAATAAATCCGGCTGCTGTACCTTTTTTACTATACAAAGTTTGTACTGGTGTAGGCCTTTAGCGACCATGAGTGGAAGTCTGAAATAATAAATAAAAATGTGCTCTCCTGCCGCAATAGACGCAGTAGTTGAGGGTAGTACTGCTGGCTGACTAAACTGCCATTTAAGTAAAGGAAAAACGATAAGCTAGTTGATTGTTTACTGAAAAAGAACAACAGAGAGCTCTCGGCTGATTTTGGAGTAGCCGTAACTATTCTAAGAATGCGAACCACATCATAACGGCAGCCACGAGTAAGAGTTCGATGTTCTGTACAGCCCAAAGATGGAGGATGGAAACCTCCCGGTTTGTCGTCTGCTAGCGGAGTCGGGCGCGTGCCCTCTCTCTCGTTTTACCCCGCTGAACCAAAAACCCACTGAATTTCCCGGATGTATGGAGAGGGCACTGCTGTCGAACAAAATGGTGCCGTCCAGACAGCGCTAAATGGAATGGTCTATATGCACCACATTATGCCAGTCGAGAAAGGCATCCGAGGCCGAGATCACATAACACTCTTACGATGAAAAACGTGCATAAGAATTCTACGACAGCTTCCAAGCTGTCTTGGGAACTCCTTAGCGATCAACGTAGCCACACATCGCCTGAGTGACTTGAATGCTTTGCCGCGACAAGCAAGGGGCATTTGTTATGTGTGCTGCCCTCATGCATCCTGACTTCAACAGGGGTAGAAGAGAATGAAGAGCGTGAAACTACACAGGCAGGATGCAGCCCAGGTTTCTGCTGAGCGACCGAACTCGTCTCAATTCCCCAATTAGGCATAGACACGGCTAGCGTGACGCGCCTTGATGAACCAATGCAAGTGGTGCCCGTAATACATTGAGGGAGAGTTTCCTTCTTTCTGCTTGTTGGTTGGCCTTTAAGTATTCTTGGGCCAGAGTAGTGCTAGTACACCCATGCAAAGTGAAAAGCTTTCCAGCAATATTTCGTTGAACAGGACCTTTAGAGAAGACACTTTTTGTGAATCAGGCCTCAGATGTACTATCATGGACTTTGTTAGCTGTAACACGCGAGTGGCGGCCGTCCCGCATCCTTAGCGCTGCATTGCAGGCGACGTCCAAAGCTCCATGCATGCGCTGTGTGGCGGACTCGCTCTTCTCGCCTGCGAGCACACCCTCGCTTTGTCGTCTACCAGGCGTAGAGCAGACGACGCCGCAGCTCTCACCAATGTTCGCTGAACACGGTTTCGTATTCAGCAAACCGCCACAAAAAGGCGCCCACGCTTTCGTGGGCGCCTCTTACACGGCGCTTGATTCCCTGACTCACGGATAAGCGTCCGCTGGGCTGAGGGCAACCATCGCCCCTTATGCCCGTGTCCCACTAGAGCGACAGACAGAGACAAAAGACAGCGACAAGCCTCAAACCCATGCAGCATGTGATGGTACCTTTGACAGGCGTTGAGTCGTTTGGTACTCGTGAAGTAAGCAGGAGTGATTGCAAGCCTGCCAAAGATACCCTCGCGTGCATGATGCTCGTGTTTGAGCATAGCCTCCTTTATTCTACGAAGCCTCTCTAATCGCGAAAGACTCTGGTTTGAGGCTTGTCGTCTTTTGTTTCTGTATGTCGCTCTAGTGGGACACAGGCATTATTCTATATATCACGGTAGATTACGCTTTTTCTCTCGGAAAAGCTGCAATCAAAGATCTATCTCTGATTCACACCTGCTGCGCTCATATCCGTTCTCAAACACGTATGATCGAAGCATGCATTGCGTACACCTTTTTCTATAAAAAATATATAAATAAAATAAATATATAAAGGGTTTATGCTACAATAACTCTGCAATCTGTGCCAATATACATCGCCTGTATTTATTGATTTCAAGACCTGCTCAGTGTGGTGAGGATATCAGACGTGCAGAGACGGCTGATAACAGGTTTGTGCCTAAAAGTGGCGCCCACAAAACCGCGATCAGCGAACATTGGCAAGTGCTGTGGCGTCGTCTGCTCTACGCCTAGCAGTCGATAAAGCGAGGGTGTGATCGCAGGAGGGAATAGCAAGCTCGCCACACGGCGCAAGTGCGGAGTTTCGGATGGCATCTGCTATGCAGAGCTCGGGGTGCGGGACGGCCGCCGCTGGCATGTCACAGCTAACAGAGTCCACGATAGTACTGATACAAACAGTAGAACCTCTCGTAAAGGCTAGGACTGGCACACAAGATTAGGCCCCAATCTCTGACCAATACAGAGATGATATGAAGCTTGTTTGAACCACAGACACAGCAAATACCCGGGTTTGAATCTTGTAGCTTAAATTATCTCAGGGGCTACATGGTTGTCAAGTTACCTCCAGATGGGACGAAGCGCCACCCACGTCCAAAGGACGCTCAGGGGAAAGCACTTACCAAAAAAGTAGCAACACTGTACACAACCATTACTCTGTATGACTTATGTGCAGTGGCCCAATTTTTTAATAATATCAAGTGAGCGTCGACCGCCGGGACGGCCAGCGCTGCGCCGCGGAAAAATGCGGCGTCACGGGAGAGATTAAGCGTGTGCGCACAAAGCTCTTTCTGGTGGGAGCGTCGTCTGCTAGGCTATTCGGTGGACCGCACACAACCCCTGCTCATTATCTGCTGGCACAGCTAACCGCCTTTAAGCAAAGATCTGAATAGCGCTTGCTTGCGTGATACTGCTCAGGCGTGGCATAAACCGCGCGTCATCTCAAGTTTAATTTACTTTTTTTTTTTTTTTCATTTCATGTTTGCGTTTACTTTGTGAATACAAACAAAAATGAAAAATATGGTGACGGGACGAACTGAATGCAACAATGCATTAAACTATATATCGCAGACAATGCTACGAGGCATCGAAACCAATCCAGTGCTTTCACCCTGCCACGTGACATTGTGCTTCCCCGTGCAGTTGTACCCAATTGGAAGGCTACGTGACACACTTTTAGCGATGGACTGGCCAAGATAACTCGTAGCGTCGGCTGAGGTACAACACAAAGTGAAACGGAGTACAGACAGGGTTTCCGCTTGGGCTTGGTGTTTTGTACTATCAACTGCGTTGTTGCTGTCGTCATCTAGACTATGGTAGCCGGGTAGTCACAGTTTTCTTTGACTAGCGGGCGCGCGCACATTTTTATGCCTCCTCGAGTGCCCATAGAAACACAGGCATGCATTGTGAGAATGTCGATGGGTGGCATGATGCAAACGGATAAAGAAACAACAGTCGAGGTTACACATGCTAACATCAATAGGATTTTGAACGCATTTCAAAAGGTGGTATCGGCGGTGCACTTCGACATTGCAAGCGCCCTGCCCTCCTTTGCTACGGAGCAGGGGCTGAGTGCGAGCCTAGCAGACAACGCTCCCACCAGAAAGGGCTTTGTGCGCACGCACTTAATCTCTCCTGTGACACCGCATTTTTCCACCGCACAGCGCTGGCCGTCGCGGCGGTCGACACTCGCTTGATACTATTAAAAAAATTGGGCCACTTTAGAAGCTCACCTCTTAACTTCCTTTTACATCACAATTAAAAAAAACAATACACAAAATTAACATCAGTGGGGCACTATGAAACTTGAATAAAAAAAACCTGCCAAATGTAACTTACCAAGCTTTTGCAGCATTGCATTTGTGAGACGCTGAACCATCAGCTCCTTTTCAGACAGCCTCTTCTTTAGGCTGCGGTTCTCCCTGATCACCTCCCTCATCCTGCTTTTGGTGACGAGTTCGTCTCCGCTCGACTCGCTGTCCGTCCCGCAGGGACTCCCTGCCTTCTTCCTTAAAAAGCCGTCCATTCGCCTCAGCTTTGCCGCCAGCTTCAAGGTTTTCTGTGCCTTTGGTGGCACTCGATCCACCCTTCCTCTCTTGAACATGCAAGAATAAAAACAGATTTTTAAACATATCTTCGCAAAAAATGTCAAATACAGACCAGAATCCGAATATTGAAACACGATAGCCAGCCTTCTGGTGAGGACAGTTGCGATCTGAATGCGCTTGCAATGCCGCAGTTTGTCATAAGAAAAACCAGGGGTAATCAGTGCTTTACTGGCCGATCAACCAAGTACCCAGTTTGGCATGCTTGGGAGTGCGGTGTCAACACCAGCATATGCCAAACTAGCCACTCCATTAAAGGGATATTGAACCAAAATTTGAATTTAACATAATAAGTATGCAAAGTGTTTAACGGGGCACCACAAACCCCGAAACATCACTCATATAGAAATATCTCGGAATGAATGGCCATACCTGTGGAAAATGAGGACGCGATGGAGCGAGAAATGTGTTGTCGCGTTTATTGCTCAATCGCGTCCCGTTTTTTTCGAGAACTCCTAGCCCTTCTGAGCAGGACGACAATAGATTGTGAGTGGGTGGCAACCCGTGAAAAAAATGCTCATGAAAACGCCAGTGACAAATCCAGAGGATATCGTACCGCCTGGCAAAAAGTCACACTACGAAAGTACCTAAATGTGCCACTCCTGAAATTTGTTGGCTATAAGGAAAAGCAGCTTCCCAAAGAATATATTGAGAAGCTAAAGGTGTTTTGTTCGGTTGCTGGTACCTCCTCAGAGAAGCACTTATGCTATATGTTGCCCGCTGCCATCCAGAGCCGTATATTGGGAGAGTTTGGCCAGTGCGAGTGGCGACGGAGGCGCCGGAGAGGAGAAAAGCGAAGAAAAGAGGAGAGTGCCGAAGGAGCGAGAGAGAAAGAACAGAGAAAAGAGGAGACGACCGCCATTTTGACGCAACACTGTCGGCGCGGAGCACTCGAGGCTGCGCGTCGTCTGCTACAAGCTTATTTCTTTTTCGCTTGAAACAAAGTTTGCGTTTAAACACGGAGAAACTGAATTCGTTAGCTTTTTAAGCGACCGAGGAAAAACATTATGTAATTTTCTTGCCAGAGCCTGCCAAATAAAAGTAAAGATCCGAAATTTGGATGTCGATCCCATGCATTTCGCCAGGCAAATGAATGATAATGGCGGCCCTCGCCGCTCAGCTGGAAGCAGCCGAGAGTTCACGCACATGCGCTCACGCCTCTCGCTCTGCGTTGCGGGCTGATTGGCTCACTCGGGAGCAGGACGTTACGGCGGCGAGATCATAGACTTGCCAAACTCTCCCCATGTACGACTCTGCTGCCATCGAAGGCATTAAGAAGTTCTGGGGGCAATTCACGGGTGGCTTTGACAACTGGGGCACCTTCGTAGACTATAGCCATATTTACATTTATATGGCTTCAGTACGTCGACTCAAATCGTCCTTCGAAGGAAGCCGATGCGGCAAAGTTTACATGAATGCGCACAAAGCTCAACGCGAAGGTAGCGCCACGCCATGTCAAAGCTCAAAGTTAAAGCTGCACTTCGGCCGCACCATGTGACCACATTTTTCGGTGCATCGCACGTGAAGGCCTTTCGACGCTCTCGGCGAGCATAAATATTGTATCCGCTGTCTTCGATGCTGTGCAAGGAGTTACGAGACGAAAAAAACATCAAAATCCAAACGTTTTGGGCTCCGGGTCGGGCTGCCGGACCACTCTGGATGAGAGGCAATGTGCGTGCCGTGCACACGACCTGGCGAGCGGAATCGTTTCCAACCGCCCTGAGGACGCCACCGCACTTCGCCTCACCAAACCTTGTCAACCGCAACCAGACCCCGAAGCCGAAAGACTCCGACGCAGCCAGGAACGGCACCGAAGTAAAAGCTGCTTGTTCTGCGCTACCATGTAGTCAGTGCTCGGAACACTCGCCGTTGTTCGTGCTCGCACCGAAGCCTCTAGATACCCCCTCGGACGAGCAAGTTGTATTTCGCAGGGCTTGGATGAAGGCCGCCCTCTCCGAGCAGCTCATATTCCGCTCATTTAGTTTGGCGATAAAAGCTAGCGTTCCTTCTCGGGAGAAACTGCGGGTGACCACACTGAACCGCTCTCCGCCGCCACCGCCAAGGTTGGCCGCCACAATGTTCTCAGCTGTTCACTCGCTCCCGCAGCGAGCGCTGTCCCATAATTCTCCCCGTTCCAAAATGCGATGCGTCCTGCCGTTACATGGGTTGAGTGAATGCGTATTCGCCGTCTCGATCCACCTCTGTCTAGCGACTTGAATGCGATGCGCTTCCTTAGCGCATTATGCCCTTTACATGACCGCATTGAATGCGACAACTGGATTCGATACGACTAAGTCGCATTCACGTAAACGAGACTTATGTGAACATTACTGAATATGGTATAATATACTGTACAATAATAAAAAAATTATCAAATAACATACCTTGCTTCCCTTGTCCTCAAATATTTTCGGAACCACCATCCGGGACTTTTTACTGAGTTCCGTAATCAGAGTCTCTTTTGAATCTGCGATCCAAAAATAGATATCTTTGAGGCATTGACGCAAGGCAAAGACCAACCACCAATAAGCAGCTGGTCAATCAAAATAAAAGTAATGGCTTATTGGAATTAAAAAAATATGTAGTGCCTAGAGTACCACCCACGGCACTCTTGCAGAGCGTTCAAGTGTCGTCCAGGTAATCCACTCACACGTTGAAGTGCCGTCCAAAAGTTTAGTGTAAAACGCATTGTCAAAACAAAATTTTCAAAGCGTGGTAAGATGTCTGCCTCAGTACAGGCTTAATTTTTTTTTTCTGTCGAGCATTTTTTTTTTATTTTAATTTACGATTAACACTGAAAATAAACGAATGTTGTCGACGAAACTTCGCTGAACAAAAAAATATGTGACTTCCCTTCCGGAGGTGCATGGGGGCCGGCGGGGTGGGGCGGGGGGGGGGGTCGGACGGCACTGTAGACTACAGCCTTAAAAGTATGGGCTTATAATATCCACAGAACGAATAGGAACAAAGAAGTTTAGGAGCCAAGTTACATCATAGGCTAAGCCCGAGATTATTCCGATTTGTTACAGCGCTGTAGAGGGGCAATTTCGCCAATGCTCTATGGCGCCTGAAAGTCGGTCGCGGCCTGAACATCGGTTCATAGTTTATAGGTGTTCATTTACACAACTTCCACACAGCCAAGTGCCGGGCTGCCTCCTCGGCAGGGTACAGACAGGGAACATCTCGACCTTACGGTCCGCCAGTTCCAGAATGAAAAGATCATTATTCTCATGGCGCACAGGGCTCTAAATGACCAGGCAACAAAGCAAGACAAAAAAAATTAGTCGTTAGAAAAGACGATTTCTTACCTCCAAGAAGTACGACGTTTGCATCGTAATATCCCTCTTCTTCTCCATCACTGCCGCACCAATACGCACTAACAACTTTCTGAGGTATGTCTGAAGTACATTTTGGAGCAAAATTCTCTATTAGAGAAACCGGCATTATCGCTCGGTGATTATCTTTGTATTTAACAAGCGCAAACATAGCGAACGGTTGAACTTGCACAAAGAACTTGACCAAAACAAACGCGTAAGTGCCAGCACGTGCATAAACCGGGCTATGACTTTGGCTTGGATTGGATATGCAAGTATATAAATTCGGGCGGCGCAAAAAATTATTTCCACGATTAAATACTACCCATTACAAAAAGCATATACTTGGTTCTAAAAGTTAATTATTACAGTAATATTATATCATCGCTCTTAAATGCGTATTTGTTTTTACTTTTTTCGCAAAATTATTGGTTTTGATTTGACCCAGTGTGTTTCAAAATAAAGTTTCGACACTAAAATCAGGAACTCAACGTATCAAATAGAAACTTACCTCGAATACGTCTTTTACTTGTCCAATTTACACATTTAAATTTTAAGACTCAATTCCTATTAGAAAAAATAAAAAAAAAAAATAAAAATGTGCCCCAAATGGATTTGTTATTTTTTTTTATTTGGTTTGCACTGTAAAGTAGAGACTTGCATTTTTAATTTGTAGATGGTAGTAGTAAATAACGTATTTGATGCAAGTTTCAACTAGGTACGTTCAGTAGCGGATTTTTTTTACATGCCATTATTGAATACGTCTTTTACTAGTCCCATATAAAACATTTACACAACTTACCTCGAATACACATTTTTCGCGTTTACACATGAAGATTTCAATAGACTTCTTCCAACATCGAAGCGTCCCAACGTGTACCACCCAGTGCACTAGCCACTCAGTCTCGGTTTCGATTAAGCAGCATCATTCCTTGTCATGACACCGTGGCCGAATACGCTGCTTGCGTTTTCGATTATCTGACTTTTCACGAATGTACAATACCCTCATCCCCGAGCGATACAAAACGAATACCGGAGCACTTTCTTTGGTTCACGAAACGCCGGATATTGCGCGTGCGTATACAAACGCAGTAAGACGTGGCTTAGCCACTTTACCCCACGATTGCATCTTTGAGCTCAATTTCAATAATCCTGTCTAGTACCAGTGAACCACAACAGAAATTTGGTCACCATGAGCCCTATATGTACTTTTTTTGCCAAACGTCCGCTTCTTGTTACTTCATTCGGCGAAAAACCAGCAGCATTCTCACAGGAGTATCAAAGTTGAGCCCTGCGTATTTGTATTTAGGGTATTCAGAATTCGTAGTCATTGAGTAGCTAGGTGACGCTAAACGTCGTCCATTTAAAAAAATTTTAATTAACCCCTACGCATACACGGCTCTCATATACGGCTCTGACGGCTCTGTGGTTTATCTATCCAGCAATGCTCGCGACCGTGACGTCGGCGCTGTCTTGATGTGGGCTGTGGTGAGCCGTTGGTTGTGCTCTCAACGCGGCCACGCGGCGTTGGACGTTTTTTTTTTTTAATCGCAGTTGGGCTTTTTTTTTCTTTTTTTGTGCCTCCTTACGTTGGTTCATTCATCTTCTACCTACATGGCGGACGCGCCGCCAACGCGACGCAGGCGTCTGGTGTACATGGAGAAGGGTGGATCTCCTTCTATCCCCAAGTCAACGTTGTCTCGCATTAGAAAGGAAGGACTAAGTGGCCTCGGCAGCAGCCAGGACAGTGGCGATGCAGCCTCCGATACCTGCGATGTCGGCTCCAGCGGACATGATACTTCAGTGGGGCATATCTCTGAAAGTGACATTGCAAGTGACGAGCTGGAATTGAGCGACGTAGATGTCGAATCGACAAGCTTCCCGAGTGCAGAACCAAGCGGCGGTGATCTTCCTCGAGCTGGTGCGGCGACAGCCACAAATGCACTGACGTCCGCCCTCAGAGAATTGGGCAGGGAAGGCTTACCCCACTCTTGTACCACCAAGGGGGAGGCAGTTGCCATGGTGATGTCATTAATGGTTGCTGGCGGGCTAAGCTGGGCCGACCTCGACAATCTCCTAGTAGTCATAAATACCATGTTTGCACCAGCTGCAGATGTTCTGCCTCGAAGCAAGTATTTGTTCAGAAAGTTATGGACAAAACAGACTGATGCCCTGATCCAGTATCATTTCTACTGCACATGCTGCTCTGACCGCATGACTGGAACACCTGACAGTGAAGAATTGATGTGCCGAACCTGCAGTCACCGTACCAGTGCTCGGCAACTAAAGAATGAGGGTGCCTTCTTCGTGACGCTAAATATGCATGACCAGCTGCAGCATGTAATAACGAAGACCAAGACATTCCTTCAAGACGCCCTGACAAAGGTTCCCCCTCCTCCTGGTGATATCTCTGATGTCACAGAAGGTCGAGCCTGCCGGGAGATGAGAAGTTCAGGGACATTGAACAATGATGATGTCACACTAACTGTAAACACGGATGGCAGCCCAGTGTTCTCATCGTCGGGCGCTTCAGTTTGGCCTATTCAGTTTCTGGTGAATGAACTGCCTGCACCGGAGAGGTTCAAGCACTGTACACTTGCGGGGCTCTGGTTTGGGAAGGGCCATCCTAACATGGCCCTGTTTTTGGAACAGTTTGTTGATGGACTCAACTCCATGGATCCTGTGGTGTGGGAGCATGACGGGCTGAGTCATGCCTCTCGGGCGTACATCCTGTGCTGGTGCCTGGACGCCCCCGCAAGAGCAGCTGTGCAGAACTGCACTCTGTTTAACGGGTACATCGGGTGCCCGTGGTGCCTAACAAGAGGGGAGCACCTGGATGGTAAGACAAGTAGCTCGCTGTAGAAAACATTAGTAGATTATTTTTTAATCTAGACAAGTACGAAGTATGTTTAAGGCCGGTTCAGACATTTGCATTGACTGCACTGCATTAAGTTGTGTTCCATTATGCTTAGTTGCCACAGTAACCCGTCGTACAGTGCTCCCCAAACTATTCTAGCCTGCAAGCCGCCAAGTATGTAACTAAGCTTGCCTTGATCCCTCCTCCATGACAGCTACACACATACAGGCTGCGGCTGGTGCTCATTAAAATCATATTTCTTTAAAGTCATTGTTTCTTGCAATTGTCGCCAGCCTCTGTCAGTGTTCTCAGCATTCTTTCACTCAGAATGCCACCTTCATCAGCCAGTTTTCATACAGTAAAGAAGTCAATATAAGCCATAGGAAAATCTTGCATATCGTTTTTTGTTTATTACTGCAACAAAAGCTAGGGGGATACTTTGCAGTTTCGCGCCGTCGGTTGCGCTTCACTTTCGGCATTCTTCCCAAGCACTCCTTGTTGCCACTTAAGGACGTTTGCATGGGTGTCTACGGGGCGGTGCTAGCATCTCAAACGATTATTCACGGGAGTGGCAGGTGACTCTAATGTAAGCAGCTATGGGGACGTCATCCAATGGTTCTTTATGTAAATGCATTGCGGATGACTCGCACACATAAAGTATGCTCTGCATCCGAGAAGCGGAACTTAGAGCGGAAAAAGGAACGAAATCGACAACATTGGCAAAATTCCGAAGTGCGTGCAGGGAATGCCACTCATTGCGACTCAAGCGGCAATCTGATGCAGATCCGGTGTTTTGGACTCCAGAATGCGCAGCGAAGAAGGAGAGATGGCGGGCGGATCCCAAGCTTTGAACACAAAAGCCTAAATAGCCGATAAATTTTTCTTAGACTTCACCACCTCTACTTTTTGCAAAACGACGTTCGCATGGCAAATTTAAGGTAGGCACGTTAGAAACTCGACTTTTGCAAGGCCTGCCAGGTATGCTGGTTTTAGGGTCATGCCCTGTACATACCTCCTGCAACTTTGAAAGTCTCTCCATTTTGCCACCACAAACGTCTGGATTATACAATGAAAGTGGCACTGCATGATGCACCAGAGTAGACGACGTAGCCTGGGCCATTGTTTTTTTGTTTTTTTGTGTCATGCCTGGAAGCTTGCATGTCACTGTGCTCTTCTAATGCAGAAAAAGACATTGGGGTCCGCGTCTACGAGCTCTTTGCTATGCAGAATAGCATGCAGCATGGCTCAAGAATGTATTTTTAATTTGTTCCCGACCACCCCCTGGGAGTAGCGTGCCACAGTTTGGGAAGCACTGTCGTAGTAGCGTCTCGTCGCAAGTGGTTGTAACTCAATCCGTCGTTCTTCAACAAATGTCTGAACTGGCATTCACCATTCAGGTACACAGCGCAACACTGTTATCACAAACAAGTAATCACCGAGTTTTGGTGTTCAAAAATTATATTGCTGCTGTCAAAACTACCTGTGTAGTGGAGACCACTTATTTCGAGCTTGTGTGTCAGCGTACCTTGATTCGGCAAAATGTGGAAGAGCGCTAATACCGTGTTCGTGCTAACTGTGTCATGCAGTGTATATCCAGTCTAGATACATTTCATTGCAAATACCAAATTTGAGCATACTGTATTACACTAGTGCTTTGGCTTTGTGCCTGAATATGGTAGCTCATTGGTTGTCGGCTGTTGTTGTGCAAGATAAGATATTACCTTGCTGTAGCATGTTGGTGTTTCGTGCCTAATGTCATGAAGCGGTACTGGCGGCGGAACTCTTTGGGAGATGGAGATTGGGTGGCGGAATGGGTAGGCGGGAAGGGGGTTTAACCGCCTCCTTCCCTTCTTTTGTTTACTATAAAACTGAAATGTCTGGTAAAACAATCGCCGCCCCCTCCTCCCCCCTCCCTTTTCCAATGCCTCTGTGAAGCGGACTGTGGAGTGTGTGTCCTATCGATTTCATGGTAGGACTGTTGCTAAGTCGTCTACATTTTGATGTGACAATGTCTTACATGAAGTACGAAGGGGTGCATGCACAAAAAGCTCATGCATCGGAAATGGACCTTGTTTATCGTAACGTTACGGCCGGCTCGGAATTTTGACTCTGGGTGCGCCAGTAGTAAATCGCTGTGATGGGCCATTGTCGGCTATGTACTCTCAATCAACTGCTCACATGTCATTGTTTGCCCGTGTTTCTAAAATAACATAATTGCTTTCTATGGTACTTGAACCGCAAACGCGCAAAGAGACCATGTTTTTTCAATGGGCTATAGGCGAAACTAGAACGCCTAGGTGCATCCTGGGAGTGGGAGGATGCAGTGTTTCAGTTTTCTCGCAGTGTGCATCAATCGTCTGTTTTTATCTCGGCAACACCTTTGACGCTGTTGACGGGCA